TGCTTACATGGCACGTTATGTGACGGAAGAACGATGACACATCAAAACACATTAATACAACGTGACAAAAAAATGATGACACGTCAAATGAAATAACAATTGTGCCCTTCTAATTAAACTAAATTATAACTTTGCCCTCAGATGAAATAACAATTTTACCATCATCTTCTTCCTCTCATCTTGTCATACTCAAAAATCAGCAGCATGGCACCGACTCTAAAAATTGGCAAATCAACATACTCCCAGCAAATTACATCTTCTAAAAGTAACTTGTTTTTTTTTTATTCTCTTAATTATATTCTTAATGGCTGTTGAAAGTTACAGAACGCAAGTAAAAACCTAGATCTAGTTTACCATATTGCTCTTTTTTTCATCCCTATCTCATCAAAGATTTCAGAGTTCAATCTCTAGGTCCTTTCATTTTCTCTCTCCCTTCTTGAACACCAAATCTGGGTTCAGTGAACCCATCAACACATAACACCTAAATCGTATGAGGAACCCACCATGCCGTGCAACAATCGCACGAGGAAACCAGAGTCCCAAACCCCATCAACCTACCTTCTCGATAGTATAGCAATAAAAGCATACCCACTTCTTAGAGAAACATGAATCATGAGAATAAAATAACTAAAATAGGAAAGCTACAAAACCCAGATCTATAATAAAGAAACCCAGATCCATAACAAAAGGGGAAATAAAGATTAAATGATAAGGAATGGAAATTGTTGCAGAAGAAATTAGATGCGTTGTTGAAAAAACCCAGAGTTGTCAACCAAGCTTTCCCATTACCGACTTTGTTTGTTACTCCCTTGTTATCTTTGCCTGCAAATCTCTTCACTATCTTTAGCAACCCAGCGGCACCTGCTGGGTTCATCGATCGAACCCAGGAGCGCCTGTTGGGTTCATGGATTGAACCCAGGAGGAACCCAACGACGTTGCTGGGTTCGATCGATGAACCCAACGACGCCGTTAGGTTTGATCGATGAACCCAGCAACGCCGTTGGGTTCATTCATCGATCGAACCCAGCAACGTCGCTGGGTTCCTCCTGGGTTCAATCCATGAACCCAACAGGCGCTCCTGGGTTCATCAACGAGGATCTGGGGGAAAGATGATGAATGCTAGAGATTGAAATGAATGGGTAACAAAAGGAAAATGGAAAGAAATTGATGTGTGGTTGAAGATGAGGTTAAAAAGGTAATTTTAGTTTTATAATTAATTTTAGATATTTTAATTTTTATTGAAAATTACGTGTCAAGTTTTTTTGCCACGTTGTCAGTCCTACATGTCAAAATATTTTTACATGTCATCATTTTTGGTCAACTAATGGGACATGTAAGCAGATTTTTAACGGAGGGACCAAATCGGGGTAAAAATGGTAAACAGTAGAGACCAAATCAGGAATTTTTTGAGTTGGGGGACTAAGTCGGGGGTCCGTACAATAGTTGAGGGACCAAAATAGGGGTTTAACCAAAATCTTAAAATTGAGGAATCAAAATTAGCATTTATCCTTTTAAAATTATATATGCTAAAATAATATATAATTACATTTTTAACCAACTAAAAATGTACCTAATTTAATTTATCTTTATAATTAAT